AATCGGAAGGTCAGGGATCCAGCCTATAGTTGCAGAACTAATCTCAAGAGTCCATGTGACAGAACAAAGGAGATAAACACCATCTGCCCTCTTGTCACGTGACAATCTGTGTTTGTGGCCGATATCTGAATCTGGAAAAAGAATAAAGAATTTGTACAAAAAAAAATTTTTCACAGAGGGGGAAGAGATGAAATGGCCTAAGAAGCTGGCAAGTGGGAGCTGAATTGAAGAAAAAAATTAAAAATGGCTAGCAAACAAAGGTGGAATTAAGTAATCTTGGACTGTAGAAAGTAGAAAAGGCGCTGGTTCCAGGATGATTCAAGAGCACTAAAGAGGAATTAGCGTAAGGAATTGCTATGCAAACAGTATGACAGTGTGGGATCTATCTATCCTGCAGACTTAACTAAAAAAAGATCAAATATTTTCTTCTTTGCGCAGATATATAAAAGAGAAGGAACTAAAGACACAAGAAAAAATAATCAAGCACTCCTAACGTCAGTTGTCTACCAAGTGTAGCTGAAGCCCTTGATTAATTCTTTGGGGAATGTAGTGGTTACTGTTATGCACACATGGTTCTTATAGCACTAACAGTACTATTGCCAGCAGGCAAGTCTGTAATTGTACACATTGGATCACAGCTTTCTCAGTTTTCTTTGAAAGAAGACAAGAGGAAGGACAGAATTGTAGGCCCACCTGTTATTTGCTGAAATCCTTTTATTATTAAGAATAAAAGATACACAATGATTCACCCTGTGTGCTATATTTTGTTTGATTAATCCCGAGATCAATCCAATAGAAGAGAATACTGTAGCTCAATACAGCTTGGAGTTTTTGGTGTCCTCTGAGCTTGGTTGTTTGCTTGCAGACATTTGACTACCCAACTACGTAATCTATTTCACTTAGTTCAACCAAGCTCAGAGCACCAAAAACTCCACTGTTCCTATCCTTAGGACCAACGGCCTCTGGATATCTAAATTGGACATCCAGCTATGAGGCCACTGCCATATTTATAATTAGGTGGACTAGTCAATTTTTTTGTTTAAGACTGAGCCGTCTACCTTTCTGCCCACTAGAAATCTCTATTCTAAATGGTTACGAATTACCTGTAAGTCATCCCCAAATCCCCAGCAGACATAATTTGGATAAATATAGTCCTAGGTACATCTCAATCATTATTCAGAATTAAGCAAAAAGCATAGAAAGCTTTTAAAAGTGTTTATTAAATACATCATTTTCTATTTTTAAATAAACATTTGACATTAAAAAATTATATAAAATATTTGTTTGTAATATATATATATATATATTTATTTATTAAAAAGAACACAGTTTGAACCAGAATTGCAACTCTCTTAAAAAAGCAACTTTAAAAAAGACATGGACATGTGGTTCTTAAGATCTGACTTTAATACTAAACATGTACTGTGCCAGCAAGCAAGTGCTTAAGATGGAGCAATTCAACTGCTGCATCCAAACGCAATGATACACCTGGCCCAAAGGGGGGGGGGGGACTGGATCTTCCTTGGAATCAAGACAGAGCTAATCCTGAGCTATGGCTCAATGACTTATATACAAAACCCCTGCTAATGCTTAAATCTCAAAACTTCCGTTAAGTCCTACTTGCAATTAAAATTAAAAAAGGAGCTTGCCAGTGTTTGCAATGTAATTCTTTATGAGTTTAAGCAGTTAAAACTGGTCTGGAATTTTTTTTAAAAAAATACAGCAATCAAATGATATTTCATCAAGCTCCCTTCTTCCAACAGCTTCTTGAATCAGACAAATCCTAGCATAGGGTAGAAATTATTGGATTAGCTAGACCTATATTTAATTAGCTAGACCAGGAGTAGGCAACCTTGGCTCTTTTATGACTCATGGACTTCAACTCCCAGAATGGCTGGCTCAGGAATTCTGGGAGTTGAGGTCCATGAGTCATAAAAGAGCCAAGGTTGCCTACCCCTGAGCTAGGCCAATACCTCAAACTGAATAACATCCCCCCTCCTATGGCTCAGAATATTACACCTACATATATTGCAAAATATCATTCACCAGCACACTGGACACTATTGAAACTGAGGCCTGCTCACATCAATAAAGCAACTAACAATGCATTGTTTAACAATCATTCCTCACAGAGCCTGATTTGTTACATCCATATCCTCCTCTAAAAAAAAAAACAAAGTCTATCAACGTTGATCTGGTTCATTAACTTTCAAGCAGCAACGGCAGCAGCATTCCCAGAGACCAGCTCAGAACCATCACCTGCCTTGCTGAAATAGGGAAGGGCAAAATGTCAGCTAGAGGGGGAAAAAGGAAAGCACTTGGGTTGAAATGAAGCACAAGGCCAGAATGTAGAACTGGAATGTTCTCAAAAACGAAACAAAAAACATCTTAAGCATAGAAAGTGCAACATTTCGCTTTGCTTCACTTCAAAATATGGCTGTAAATATGCAGCTCCCATTCGCTTGTTATAGCTCAACTCTCCACTACAACATGGAAAAAAGAATGAGGGGGTTTACATCCTGGACAAATCCTTATCTATGAGATCCTGAGTCTAAAGCTTAAGAGGCAGAGCTACTTATTTCAAGACAAACACAGAGCTCTCAACCTCATGATTTTGTTGCTCTACTAAAGAAAATGTCTAGACTTTGCAGGTACAAACAATGAATAAAAGAAACCATGCTGCCTCCTTTAAAGACTAGGGATACATTTACAAAGAAGAATTTGAGTTTGTTTCTGCAGCCAAGCTCTAATACTGAAGGATATAGCCAGGCAACCTACTTGCAGGAAAGAATCAGCAAGCAAAAGAAGGGGTTAAAGACCCCCCAATCTTACTCCATGCCTTCCATGCAAGCACATTCTTATTTTACATCTGTTGGGCAAAATATTATGGGAACACAGATCTACTAAAGTAAAAAGTAGGTTGGAAAGTATTTTGAGGGACACCTTGACCTGATGGAAAAAAACAAAGACGGATGCCCCAAAGGCATAGGACTTGTGGGAGCATGCCCATACTTGGGACTTTTACATGCAGACATGTTTGTTTTGCTGCAGAATTTCTTTGTGGTGGTGATGAGGTCGAGAAGACAGAAAATCTAAACAGCAATTCAGCACAGCTACATTTCAAACATAGTTCCACTTACACCTGAAAACATTTCAGGGGAAAAATGGTTCCTGGGCATCTCTTACCAGTGCCCCCAGTTAACAGTGCCTCCATAATACTTCCTATAATGGCAAGGGAAGCAAACGAAACAAGGCTAATTCTCAATACAACTTGAGTCCCGTTCCATGAGTACATCAGCTGGTGACTTGTACCAGTGATAAAATACAAGGCTCAAAAAGATAAATATTCCATGGCTAAATTCTACTTACAAAAGGCCAGTTGCTTCATTCAATAGCTGCTAACTGGAAGACTCTTAGGAAACCCCACAAGCCAATGCTCCTTCATATTCTTTATTACCTACCCAGCAATTGGCATTCAGAAGCACACTTGCCTCTGAACAGGGAGCCTCCATTTATCACTGATTAAAACAGATTAATATATAAAGGAAAAACCACAGCTCTGTTTTAAAACCGTGCTAGCTGGTACCCAGCACATTATCTTGTGTAGTATGGAAAGGTACTTATTTTTTGGCTTGTCCTAAAAACTAAGTAAAATCTATTTTATTAGTAAGTTAAAATTTAAGGCTAAAAACATCTCTCATTTTGTATGATAGAGTTAAAAATGGATTCTGGGAATAAAACCGTAAGCTCCTGGAAAAGTAGATAGCAACTTTCTCTGAACAGTGTGTTAGATTATATAGAGTGCTAACTGGATGGGGTTATGCACAGAACTGTACTTTACAACCTACAAGCTTAAGAGATGAACAAAGTGCCTAAAAAATTAATAGCTGGCATGAGGCTGAGGTCCTGAAGTCTTCAGCCAGAAGTCTTCAGCCAGAAGAGGCCAGAAGCTCTAAAAGAAGCAGATAATTTTCATTCATGTTTAGCATGGCTGTTCAAACTGCAGAATCCATATTTAACAGATCTGAAAACGATATCATCTGTTCCCCTTCAGAATGGAATAGGCACAGTAGTTCTTAGACCATCTCCATCATACAAGGGATTTTGCAGACCAAGCTCCAGTTTGTTGGCTGAATGGTAGAAAAAAGGCAACTTGTATAATGAATACCAATCTTGGCTACCAGAAATAAATAGCGTCCATTTCCTGATAAATTCCTTCCCATTAAAAAAAAAGTATAAAAACAATCTTCATGGAAAAGTACTGCTGTGGCTTTAGTTCCAGAGTTTCCTTTGTGCAATTTCTCCCAATAATAGCAACAGAACTGTACTTTGAAAGTGGGGCTTTCAGTCCAAAACCCCAGGCAGTTTCTCATTTCAGAGGGAATGGTGCAACTGGAAATAAGAAGACATGAAGAGCCATCACTGTTTAATTCAAAAGTGTCAATGAGTTTAAGAGGTGAAATACAGGCCATTATTTTATTACAAATCACTTAGTAACTTTTGCTAAGACATATGCAAAGATCCAACTTCAGTTCTCATGCATGACCTTTGACCTCAGAAAATGCAGTCCCATAAGAATGCAGATTTTTTTTTCAGACTAAGAATGGATTGTAAGTTGATGTCTATCTGCTGCTGCTACCCCTAAGGACATAGCTACATTCCATAGCACCTACTTATAGTTTACAGGAAATCTGTATCTATGTAGAAAGGAGGTAGCAGGTTGCATGTGCCCATCGGCATCCAGTTAATTCTTGGGCATCTGCTAAGGCTTGACTAATCCAGTATCTTGTTTCCAAAATATATCTAAAATTCTAAAATTCTTGACAAGTCAGTAGTATTCTCCTTTCTGGCCCTAGCATTTAGTATTCATAGCAAACTATATTCAAAACTGCTCACCAAGTTTATGCAAATGTATGGTGTAACTATTGTAAGACAGGCAACATAATAACTCCTCCCAAAAACTTATTTTCCTCTGAGAAAATTAAAAAAGATAACCTACCTCATACCTCCCTTTGAATCTGCAACTCCAAGTGTCCCTCCCCTCCACTCAATGATCTACAAAAAAAGAACAGGAATCTTAACTTCAAGACAAAGAGGAAGAACTGTGATGATTTACTAGTCAATATTTTGTACAACTTTCTATGACCTGGTGGCTTTCAATTTGTAGCCCAACGCATTTGGAAGTGATCAGCGGGTACATTCACACAGTGGCCCAACAGATTCTATCCCACAGGAGTACATTTAAGACCTTTGTTTTCCTGAGGGGCAATTCAGTGAGTTTAAACATAAGAACCTGAAATACATAGCAAGAAATAGAGGATCTATATGTCAGGAATGACTGATCTAAAATAGAAAGAGGCTAACAGCTTAGAAAATCTAGTTATACAGGCAGGTTTCATGATCTTCTAGTTTCTTACCTTTGTTCTTCTGTTCTTTCTACATTATTCCCCATCTGCTGTGTCTGCCTCTTTCTTAGGATCTGTATGAAAGAAAATAAGAATTGGGTAGTGGAACAGAGAATCCTGATTTGAATGAACCATAAGCAGATTGAATTGCTGCTGGTATAATTGGCACTGGACTTCCAACTAAAAGCTGTGGCTATCCCAAGAGGAAATGGAAAATTGAAAACTACTCCAAGAAAACAGTTCTACTGTGGTTTGAGTGCTACCAACAAACATAACAGTTGTCTTTGCATATGGAAGGCATCCATACTACTGGGCATATACCAACTTTTAAATCAAGTTTAATTTTGCTCGGCACACTTTCAGAGTGTAGTTTCTTGGCATGCCATTTAAAGATAAAGAGTGCCTTTTAGGCTAGGTGTCAAGCCCAACATTAGATTCTACCATCACTACTTCCAGGTTTTTCAATATGACTCCCTCTCTTTATGTACAGTGATAAATTATAGCGTTAAGAAAAAGGTAGTTATGGCTGCTCCTGCATAATCAAAGCCAGTCCTTGAATATGTCCCTTTTTTTCTTTAATTATGCAAACTGTTTGTGAAATAAGCAGAAACAGATTTCAGCCTTGGAAGACAGACTGTGCCAGCGCAACAAATCAATAGATAACTTGCTTACTCTTCCTATGAAGCAGTTCTTCTAAATAATGTATGAAGTAATGACACATGCAACTCGTTTAATACCAGTGCAGGTCAACATTGTCTCTAACATGCAACTATATCTTCTCTTGTTCAATCTGGAGGAATATTTATTGTATTTATAATTTTTCTTCAGTTCTATAAGACTTTCAAGTTACTTAGTAACAATTTCCAACCCTATCCCAATTCTAAGAATCAAAAGATGAATCACAGGATGCGCTTCCCACTCATCAGCGGCATCAGTTCTAAGCACCATACTTTTACAGCCAAGGACTTTTAAGAAGTTGAGTTGTGGTGCTGGGCAGCATGGGGAGTAGTCTGCCTTAAGCAATGCTTGCATCTTGTGGTGTAGGACGCTCTAGGATTGAAGGTGGCCCACGACAGAGTTACCACTGCAAGGCATGCATGAGATAAGATGTACCCTACAAACCTAGCTATAATTATTATTATTTTGCATCTCAATGAAAACAAAAGGAGAAGGAAGGTATTTTACAACAGAAAAAAAAATGTAAGATGAGTTGCAGGAAATACTTAATGTAAAAGCAAGGAAAGTGTTTTTGCTGAGGGACACAAGAACTATTTTGCATCTAACATTGTTGCTCGTACCTAGCACTATTGGTTTTCCAGACTTATCTTGAGATGGCAAGGATTGAACCTGCAAAGCATGTATTTTGCCAAGAAGCTACACTTCTTTCTAAATGACAGTTCTATGTTACCATCTTTAGGAAACTCTGTGCCTCAAATTTGCCACCAAGAGAAAGAGGAAAGGAATGTAGATGTACATTTGTTAAGGCAGGACTCAACCTTACCCTGGACTTATGCAAGTAGAACAGCAGGCCACCCAGGGCTAGCAGGATTCCCAAGACACTGGGTATCACCACATATGTCACAGACGTCCCTTGGATATTTCTGGGCTCTGACTTCTTGGTGTGCTTCTCTGCGTTCGGAGGAATGAAGTTCAGATCAAAGCTGGGTCCCAGCAGGCTATCCTCCAATTCCCTGTCCTTGGCCAGACCCTCTTCTCGTCTCTCTCGCAGCTGAGCGTTTTGCAGTGCTTTGGAGGTACTACCTCTGCTACTTTGCTTTGCTTTCCCCAGGAGTATTTGTTTGGGGGGTGAGGAATTCTCTGTGGTGACCACAAAGTTAGAAGGATCTTGTGTTGCAGAGACAGGATCTTTGTGGCCCAGGGCATGGGGACTGCCACTGGGGGGCACACTAGAGCTGTCTATTTGCTCCAAATTGAAAGATGATGTCAGAGTTAAGCTGAAAGCACTGCTGGCAACAGTGATATCCTGATCAGATGCGAGTCCTGGAGTGGCCTCAGTTTTTTCTTTTATCTCAAACCATTGCTGATTGAGAAATGACTTGGCTAAGTCAGAGAGAGGGAGATGCTGAGAAGCTATTTCATCAGATCTTTTCTGGCTTTCACCAGTTCTGGAATCCAGGGAGGGAGATCTGGTCTCCATGGATTCCAAATGTTTCTGGATAGAAAGAGAAGGCGATGATGGTGATGGTAATATGACATCAATGCCAGCCCCGAAATCCATGCTTTCAGTGATTTCTTGGCTTTTATCAGTGCTTCTAGACACCCTAGACCTGGTATTTCTCTCTAACCCACTAAGAATTTGAGTAGTATCAGGAAGCCTTAGTAGCTGGAGAATGCTGACAGCTGTCTTCCTGCTGTCCAGCTGGTCTGCAATGGAAGAGAAAGACTCAGAAGTTGGAACGAGATATGTCGAGCCTTCTATATTGATCGGGCCTGTAGATGAACAGTTGCAATCCAGGGCAGTAAGAACACCTGAAAAGATCCAGATAGAGAGAATGGCCATAGAGTAACCAGCTTCTTAAGATGCAAGGAGAACCAAAGGATTGCATTAAGCTCAAATAAGATACTTTCTTTAAGCTATCATGCCAACACCAGATTTCAGTCTTTTTTCAAATCATGGCCAAAAGCAACAGAAGAAACTGTAGGTTAAAACTGAAACAAAGCAAGGCAACCAGCAGAAGGATCCAGAAAGAACTTTGAGGATGAAAGATTAATGGATGAATGGATGGAGGGAGGAAACAGTGTAAAGATTAGCTTGGGGTAGCAACACCAAAAAAGAGCTCATGCAACTAACATTTATGGAGAAATCATATATAATTGAGACCAAGCACTAGACCAGCATTCAATTGTCTAGAAAATCAAAGCAAAGGGAATAACAGTTTCTACATAGGAATGGCGATGTGGATAATTATGGCTACAAGTAAACTGTATATGTCACTAGAGGTGCTGCATGCACAGACATACAACATGAACTGCCACAAAAAACAAATGAACTCAAGACAGATTTTCAGGTCAGACAGTGACTGCATTCTCCTTGGCAACCATTCAGAAAGACTGAAGGCTTCATTATGTCATTGGATCTCAGAGTAATAAAACTAAAAATGAGATTTATTTGGAAGCAGATTTAAGAAGTATACAAAAGCCGAGCCATAAAGATTCCATCCAATTATGTCTGAATAATGCTAGGACCATCAGGAATTCAAGCATTTTATATGGACCTTCCAAGCTGAATTTAAAAAATAGAAGGGTGTATGTACCCACACACACACACATGCACAGAAACACTAGTTAGATACGAATGCAATGTCTTCTCAACTTATTCCCATCTTTGCAGCTTAGCCTTTCCATCTATTTGAGGTCCACCTCAGGAA